CGGCGCACCCTGCGGAACCGGCCCCTGCCCCCAGAGACACGGCCCAGGCCCGGCCCCCGATGGGTTTTATAAAACCCCTCTTTGGGTTTTATACTTAGGGAGTCCCCACACCGAACCTGCACCCGCACTAACACACAGCTCTTCCACGCTTCAGGGCAGCAACACAAACTCGCTGTTCCAGGCCTGTGGTGGCTCAGAAAGAATAAGGCTGCCTTCGTCACTCTTCTATAAATAAATACCACTTAATATGAAAATATATAAAAGAGTGGTATATTGTGGAAGATGACCTATTTATAGTCATTTTGCTACCATGACTTCATCTAACACCACAGTAAAGACAGGATTTCGCCTCGCTCAAGAGCAGTCCCTGAAGACATTTCCTATAGGACTGCCTTAGGCTGTTATAGGGGAGAGGGGGACAAAAAATTATTTTCCTTATAAAAGAAAGTGAGGAGCTTCTCCCAGGTTCCTTGTTCTGGATTTCAGTATCTAAATTAGATATTAAAGCCTGCAAGCACCATCAGTACATGAAAGGAAATGGTAAAGCTGGAAGCACCACAAAACTCATGCCTGACTTTTCAGTTTTGTCTGGATTTTTTAACTGAGCAAATTATTTTACAGTAAAGCTCTGCTGGACTGTAAAGAATTGTGCAATATTTATAGTTTAATCTTACCTCCAATCTCTAATATTATTACCATGCAAACCTTAAACGCTGCCTATCAAATCAGACAGTATCCATCAAGAGCCTGCTGATGAGTAAAGGTCAGCCTTCACAAGCCAACACAGGGACGTCTCGGGAGCAGCGAAAGGAACTGAAGTAAAACCCGTGTCGGAGATGTGGCCAGTATGCAGGTATCAAGACTGGCACCCACAGAAAAGCAGAGGAGTTTGAGAACACGATGAATACTTGCACATATTCACATGTTCTACAGGTGTGCTAGACATCTAATCCTGTTTTATTATGGAACTAAAATGACCTTTAACAAGTTAAAAAAATACAGAAAACAAACAAGAAAAAGTAACATCCAGCAAGAATAAAGTTAAGTAAATTACAACTTCTCCCCATTAAAACTACAAAGTAAATTTACACAGGGTTGTGGTACCATGCTGGAGTTTTCACGAGTCTATGGTTGAGCTGACGCTCCTTCAACAGTGCACTGCTGAACAGTTAATGAACGTGAGT